GGGGGGGGCAGGGTCTCATTATGTAGCCCTAGCTGGCCTAGAGCTCATTATGTAGACCAGGCTGGCCTAAAATTCACAGATCTCCCTCCCTGTCTCTGACTCCCTGTCTCTGAGCGCTGGGTTTTTCCTTAAAGACAGGCCTTCACTATGTAGCCCTGGCTGGCCTGGCACTGACAAACCTGACTTGGTTTTATAGTTTTTTGAGACAGGGTCTTGCCAGGTGGTGGTGGCACATGTCTTTCATTTCTAGCACTTGAGAGGCAGAGGCAGGCAGCTTAGTCTACAGACAGCCAAGGCTACACAGTGAAACCCTGTCTCAAAAACCAAAGAGAAAGAGAGGGGAGAGAGGAGAGAGAAAAGAAAGAGAGACAGAGAAAGAGAGGAGAAGGGGAGAGAAAGAGAGAGGGAAGAGAGACTTTTATTGATTGAGGAGACTTCTCTTACTAAATAGAAAGATGGCTCTTATCTCTTATCCCTACACTTGAAATGGAGGAAGGAGGATCATGGGCTCAAAGTCACATCAACCACACAGCACGTTCGAAGCCAGCCTGTTTTAATTGTTGTGACTTGTTGGATCAAAGACTTTGAAACAAGTTAAATAACATTTTTAAAGGATTAATTTGAGAGACAGAACAAAAAACACCTGTCCCCATTTGAACTCTGTGGATGTATTTTTCACACGCAAAATTTCAGATTTCAGTCGAGACAATTCAGAGACTCATTTTTTTTTTTTTTTCCTGAATAACTAACAATGTTGATGGGAAAGTGAGCATGTGCAGAGCTCTACGTGTTCCCCTGACCATGTTCTGTACTTGAGCACAGATAGTTCACACATGGAGTAGCCAGGCACTGTCTGCTTTTCTATGATGCGTCAGCCTGGATCCTTGTCTTTTCTCCCCCCGGGGAGACTCAGCGTTCTATCAGTGGGGTGGAAGTTCCTCTGAGACCAGTCATAACAACTGTGTGTCTTTTCAGAGCTGACATTTTCTGGAAAGCCAATGGTCTGCTTCATTCCCAAAATAGATGCAAGCAAAGAGCTTTTTAATTTACATTAGTGCTTCAGTTTGTTTGTTTCCTTATTTATTTCTTTGTGTGTGTGATAGGGAGAGAGAGATACAGAGACAGAAGAAAGGTGAGAGCTGGGTAGAAGACCAGAAGGGGCCCTCAGGCTACAGGTGATTGTGAGCCTCCTGACTGAACTCAGGTCCTCTGGAAGAGCAGCCACTGTAGGTGCTGATATTTCCAGCACTTTTTAATTTTATTTTTCCTAAAGACAGTGTCTTATGAGGCCAGCCTGGTCTACACAGTGAGTTCCAGAACAGCTGAGGCTACACAGAGAAACTCTGTCTTGGAAAAAAAAAAAAAAAAACATAACAGAACAAAAAAGACAGGGTCTTGCCATGTCATCCTGGCTGGCCTGGAACTCTCTTTGTAGACCAGCTTTGTGTTGAAGTCACAGTGATCTCTCTCCCTCTGTCTCAGTGCTGGGATTAAAGGTGTGAGCCAACAAGTTCAGACAGAAAAAAGAAGTTTTTAAACTTAATTTTACAAGTGTATGGAGATCTTCACCACAGTGAAGCCTGAGTAAGTGACCAAAGGACCTTATACCTTTAAAATAAAGAATTATACATTTGTGAAGAAATGACAGAATACACAAGATATCTGTGCTTGGGCAGCAAATTCTGGGGGTGTTTCCAGTAAATAAGGGACAAGGGCCTGTTAAAACTGGTGGAAAATAAGAGTAATTTCAAAGCATTTGTTTATTCAGTTTCACTGAGGCCCCAGTTTCCATTCTCTAATGACCAAAGCCATTTTCCATTTTGGAATGAGAGAGACTTTCTTCCCAAAATAATCTTTTTTGTTGATTGTTTTGTTTTTATTTTTTAAGACAGGGTTTCTCTGTGTGGCTTTGGCTGTCCTGTACTTGTTTTGTAGACCAGGTTGGCCCTGAACTCACAGAGATCCACCTGCCTCTGCATTCCTGGGTGCTGGAATTACAGGCATGTATCACCACAACAGTCTATAGGGAAAGACATGTAGCTATAGTTTCTAATTGATTTCAGCTGAAAACAACCAAGATGCCCATTCGGCATTTTTGGAGATATTATATCTTTAACTCCATGTCCTGGCTAGTTTTATGTCAACTTGACACAAGCTAGAGTCATCTGAAAGGAGGGAACTAAGCTGAAAAAATGCCCCCTTAAGGTCTGGCTGTAGGCCTGTAGCGACTGATAGGGAGGGCCCAGCCCATTGTGAGTGGTGCCATCCCTGGCTGGTGGTCTTACTTGCTAGAAGGCGGCAGGCTGAGCGAGCCATGAGGAGCAAGCCAGTAAGCAGCACCCTTCCATGGCCTCTGCCTCAGCTCCTGCCTCCAGGTTCCCACCCTGCTTGAGTTCCTGTCCTGACTTCTTTCGATAAAAAACAGTCTTGTGAAAGTAAGTGTGAGCCAAACAAACCCTCTCCTCCCAAGTTGCTTTTGGTCATGGTGTTTCATTGCAGCAATGATAATCCTAACTCCTTCATGGGAAAGAACCATTTAAGAATCTTTGGAGTTGATCCTTCCACAACCTACTGACACTACTCCAGATTGTCTGCAGAAACAGCTTCTTAAGTGTTCTCTTTGCCTGCGCTATGGGCTGTGCCAGCCATGGATTTCCCTCCAGGTTGAAGCTCTGTGTCTGACTGCAATCCAGTCCTCAAATGCACAGGCCTATTCCTGCTTTACTTTCTCCCATTTTCCCTGGAACCCTAAGATGTAGACACAGCCCTAACTCTTAGCACATATCATCAACGGAGACTGGTAAGCCTTATCTTTTACAGGTCAGACATTTTTCCCTCTAGGAAGCTTTTTCTTGTATCTTCCCTCTGCAAGCTTTTTTTTTTTTGAAAAATAATTTTTATTAATTATTTGAAAATTTTATGCAAT